TCAAGGCTATGTTCAACGGCGGCACGAGGAAGCGACTCATGGCGGCCAGTAGCCAAGTAAGATATCACCATCTGTGTTATATTGCAATCCTAGAGGAACGATCGATTCTTACTATAATCTAAATTCTCATACCATAGAAAAACTGATGCAGACTCTAAACCAGAGTATCAATACCTATATTGAGAACATAGGTACTATTAGAAAGCATGTAGTACCTGGCCATACGACAAACCACCAGTTAAGAAATGATCAAGGAGTAATTAATACATACCAATGCAAACCACTAAAAGTAGCTATTTTGGGTACCCGTATAGTCCCGCTACTAATATGTGCAATATAGTATGCATTGTAAGCGGTTATCATACTAGTAAGTATCGTAATAGGATAGAAAGCAAAAGTGGGATCGCTCAATGTCATGGGCTCATAAACTAATACAAGAGAGATCAGTATATGTAATCAGCCAAAGCTAGTGAGAAACTGTCCTCCAAACCAGAGGGCAAGGATAGCAGTTGGCCAAGGGGATAGTCACATGAAATTTTGATATTGGATCAGGATTTTTCTGCTTCTTCTATAGAGCTTGTGGAATTATATCATTTGAAAAAATAATGATTTTGAAAGAATCCTGTCCAGGTCGTCTGGAAGTCAGCCCTCACCCTGATTGGTTGACGTTTATAACTGGCAACCATTCACAGTACAGTTGTGAGACTGAGATAACTACAAGCCGCTGGCATCTTTGAGTATTCAGTAAATTATAAATTATACTGTAGGTCTTAACATTTACATGAGACAAAAGTAACAGTAATATGCCTGAAGGAGCGTGTCTAAGAAAATATTTACTAAAAAAAAAAAATTAAAAAATATGAAAATATCACCAAGGTTAATTCTGTTACTTACACATTTCTGTAAACACTTAAAAAAGTGATGAGCGAGGATATGCATTTACTGTATATATCCAAGTTATTGTCATCAAAAGACAATATGTGCGAACCCATACACACATTATGTGACTACTGTGCACAACTTATCTGAGAGCTTGATGAGGATTTAATTATCACCTTCACCATAAAGGAATTGTGGTTTCCATAATGAGCAAACAGGATACGTGAAGTTTCTCCTACTAAACATTTTAAATTATTCTTCAATCTGTGTGTGTGTTTTGATGCATGCAATTCATGAGCTATTTCGAAAATGTCTATATGCCGTATATATATTTTTAGTCTAGTATTTCAGAAGCATTTTAAGATTGGTTTCCCACTTTCGTGAAACTTAAATTGTGTAAGCAGGTTGAACTCGGATCAGTCAGGCACAAAAGTAATGAAACGGAACATTTTCTAAGATTTAATGTCGCATCGTTGTGCAGCAAAGGACTGCACAATGATGGGAATGTCACCAAGACTCTTGGAAGGCTAGGGATACAGAAATAGTGTTAATGCCATCTTGCTAACTCGAGTTTAAGTACACTTGATGCCTTGCTTACGCAATATATTTTAAGTTATCGAACATTTCATGCAATTTCCTAAGCCTTGAATACGTGAGGAAGTATAGTGGCCGCCAGGCGCTGTCTGGCGGCATTAATCACCAAGTTAACACATGTCTTTGGCAGCGCCGTGTCCTTCCCCAGGGTCAAGGTTCTCGCATGTCCAAATCACCTCGACTAGACACGCCGCTCTCCAAGCCACCATCGTTCGCCCCACCCACCCTGAAGACTGTGGGTAGCGAACTCGCCTACCCGCCCCCATACTTAGCGCCGCTGCCACCGCCCTATCCCGCCCACCACAAGGATGCTCACCAGACCTTCGTCGACTATTTCTGGGGATCCCGGGGGTCGTTGCCGCCGCTGGGGTTACCATACTCCCTGGCAGCGTGGCCACGGCGGCCCCTTCCCAGCTTCCCGCCGCTGCCGCTCCCCGACCCAAGACCCGACCCGACCAGCGACCCTCGACCAGCCGACACGGAGCCCCCAGCGCTAAGACCAGCGCACTTATCGGCGTTCACTCCCGTGACTCGAGCGTCCCCCACGCCGACAGTGAGCGCGGGACGGGACTCGGGAGCGCCGTTGCCAGACTCCAGCAGACACTCCGATGATGAGACCGTCGATATCGAAGCCACAGACGATGACACAGACCTCAAGAGTGACAGCTACAAGAGCAGCGCCTACAAGCACGACCTGTACAAGAACGACATCATGAAGGCAGATAGCTTCAAGCCCAGTAGCTCAACCAGACACCAGCCGCTAGACTCAGACCATTACAAGAACGACAGTTATAAACCCGACGACCACAGAAGCGACCACGACGACGACCACGGCGAAGCAGAAGTGGAAGAGAGACCTCACAGCCTCTCTCACCCAGAGGATCGAACACACAGGGAAGAGAGAACGCATAAGGATGACCACGCCCACCTCTCTCTTGCCCACGCCCGTGTGAGCAGTCCAGTGGCCAGTGCCAGCAGCAGTAGCAGTAGTAGCATCGGCCTTGACACAGCTCGCCCAATTATTGAGGTTAGTCCTCAAATTTAATATATATATATATATATATATATATATATATATATATAATATATATATATATTATATATATATATATATATATATATTTATATATATATATATATATATATATATATATATTTATATATATATATATATATATATATATATATATATATATATATATATATATATATATATATATAATTATATATTATATATATATATATATATATATATATATATATATATATATATATATATATATGTGTGTGTGTGTGTGTGTGTGTGTGTGTGTGTGTGTGTGTGTGTGTGAAGGAAAAAATTAATTGCTTCTGTACTAGTCACATTATTATTATTATTATTATTATTATTATTATTATTATTATTATTATTATTATATTTGTTGTTGTTGTTATTATTATAATATTAAAAGCAAGATGTAAACCCGTATGAATAATGCAACACTACAGTGTAGGATGTGCAATGATAGGGGCTAGTTACGTCAGGGGTTATTGAGAGAAAAAAAATTAATTCAAGTCAAAGATGGTGTAAACAGGCCAAGAGGAACCTGATAAGTTTCTTATTTATATGACGACCCATTCAAGAGTGTTGTCGGCCCTGTGTCGAGTCACGGCACACCGACTGCTGTGGTCGGCCTTGTGTCGAGTCACGGCACACCGACCGCTGTGGTCGGCCCTGTGTCGAGTCACGGCACACCGACCACTGTGGTCGGCCCTGTGTCGAGTCACGGCCTCCCTGTGGCGAGTCACTGCACACCGACCGCTGCGTTACCGGACTCAGTTGTGAAAATTAATTAGACTAGATGGCTCACACTGATAATGCTACCGGATGGAGCGAAACGTCGCCTAAAGTATTCTCTCCAAAGCTGGGGATTAGTTATGAAGTGTTGCACCTCACGTATGGGTCTGACTTGGATATGATAAAGCCAGATGAAGTGTTATAAACAAAATATGCACACTGAGGGGTGTATATCTCTTAAAGTATACACAATTAGAGTTTAATTCGTCTTCCAGGGGTTAAAGTATTCCTGACTGGTGGTGAAGTATTCCTGACTGGTGGTGAAGTATTCCTGACTGGTGGTAATGATCCTTCGCGTAGTCCATAGGCTTTAAACCACATTAACCAAACCGACCCTGATGTTCAGATTACAGTCTGCACGAGTTAAATTTTTAGAACGGGAATATTGCAGTTCATTCAATCATTGATTTACATATGACATTTTTTTCTTACATTAATAAAGAGAATATTTCGGTCGTCGCCAAATCTAACGTTGCATTTGTGTTTTTAATCTAGAATTGCTTTTGCAGTCTGAGTAAAAAGAAACAACGTGCACAATAAGCTTTTACTGAAGTAAAGTTTGGCTCAGGGTAGAGCTTCATCAAGTCGGTGACCTGGTAAAGCTCTACCCATTTCTGGACATCCAGGTGTTGAGTTAGAAACAGGAGAGGCTTCTGTTTCGTACTCAGCGGACGGGAGATAGAACCTCCACAGCATCTTGTGCTGAAAGATCCAAATGGGTTTAGTGCTTAACAAGAATTATTTTTTCCCAATCCTGTTTTATATATTGTGTCTCTATAAGTATTCTAGTCGACAGTAGACCTGGACATCCAGTTTTCTAAATCATTCCTTCAAAATTTCTTACATTCTGTTCGAAGGGAAATTTTATGACACGATCATTTCGCGGAATTCTAATCAGAGTATTTTTTCTTATGACATAGATTTTTAATTAATCCAAAAATGTGGAAATTTTCAAAGATTTGCTGGAAAAAGATTTTACTCTAGGATAGTAATTCTCACCCTGAGGCAGTTATACTTACCCTGGGACAGTAATTCTCATCCTGGAACAGTAACTCTTACCCTGGGACAGTAACTCTCATTTTGGAACAGCAATCCTCATTCTGGGACAGTAATCCTCATTCTGGGACAGCAATTCTTTCCCTTGGACAAAAAAAATCTTACCTTGAGACAGTAACTCTCATTCTGGGACAATAATTCTTTCCCTGGGAATAATTCTTACCCCGGGACAGTAACTGTCATTCTGGGACAGTAATTGTTACCCTGGGACAGTAATTCTCATCCGCCTACAGTAATTCTCATCCTGCTACAGGAATTCTCGTCCTGCTACAGTAATTATCACCATGGGGCAGTAATTCTCACCCCGAGACAGTAATTCTCATCCTGAGACAGTAATTCTCATTCTGGGTCATTTCCTCTCACCCTGTGACAGTACTTCTCACCCTAAGACAGGAATTCTCATCATGAGACAGTACTTCTCATCCTGTGACAGTAATTCTTAACCTGGGATAGTAATACTCACCCCGGGGAACAGTAGTGCTCACCCCGGGGACAGTATTTTCAAAGGTGCTCACGTCTTGTTGGTCACACCTGTCAGTGACTTAATGAACACCGAGTTACGATAGTTCGTGTGACCGCCGCTGAACGGTAAGTGGCGTCACTAGTCAATAACAAAGAAAAAACAACAATAATAATAATAATAATAAAAGAAATGCTCTAAGTGGTGCGTGTGTTTGTCACAAAGCGCTCCCACCATTACGGGAATTCAACTTACCTATGCAAATGAAGGCTAGAAGGTAATGCATGAGGGAGTGGCACTATAATCAATGATGAAGATGTGTTTGTTCTGGCCACGTCTAACTCACTCTGACCCTTCCCCCCCACTCTTACCCCCAGTGGCGGTCAGGGACTCCCGATAACTTAACCGGTTATACACGCAATAACTCAACCGGTTACACACACCGAGAAAATCGCCGGTAAACAGAATTACACGAGGCAGAGCAAAGCCGGGAGCACTGTTAGACGAGTATCGACTGGCCAGCATAATGGGACGAAATGTACACGGCGACGTATAATCGTGAAATGACCCATTATTTATTATTTGTTAAACACTCAGACATCAAGGACACCCTCAGGAGGAGGCCAGAGGCTCGCAAGAAACACCTTCTCTATACCCTGAACCATTTATTCCTATTACGATGGAATTCATGGCTTGGTTCAGGAAAGAATAAAATAGCTTTTTTTCCTTGAGTGTAATCTAGGCACCTTCCCTGAATGATAGTTCTGTCTGACAAGGTAAACCAGCTATCGTACCAACCCCCAACACTTGTCATGTGTGCAACCCATCTTGTGTGATGGAATATGCCAAGGAAATGTGGCTATAGATTTTTGTTCCTAGCAATGTAAGTATCATACAGAAGAGCGTGACAGCATATTGTGAGTATTTCTGAAATTCGTGAAGAATTGGGTAACAGTACGTTGCTACCACTGGAGTTAACACCAGTGTGTCAATAGTGTGTCGGAAAGTGTTTGAGCAGTAACATCCCAAGAGTTAACAGTGGTGTGTGGATAGTGTGTAAGTGGTAAGCCACAGAACTTAACACAGGTGTTTGGTCAGTGTGTGGAAAGTAAGTCGCAGGAGTTAGCACCAGTGTGTGGACAGTGTGTAAACAGTAAGCCACAAGAGTTAACACCGGTGCGTGGACAGTGTGTGTGAGCAGTAAGCTACAGGAGCTAGCCTGAGCACCCGGGATATTTATCAAGGCACGACTGGACATCAGAGCTTGTTTACCTTCCTTCACGTCCCACTTGCGACCTCGCTCACTTCTTTGTATATAATTTGAAGTGTGTAGTAGCAGTGTATCATCATCACACTTCATGTAATACTCCTCTCTCTCTCTCTCTCTCTCTCTCTCTCTCTCTCTCTCTCTCTCTCTCTCTCTCTCTCTCTCTCTCCTCTCTCTCTCTCTCTCTCTCTCTCTCTCTCTCTCTCTGTTTGAGTGGCATATCGCTTCACATAAATTCTTGAGTGTATCTCTAAAGTGCTGGTCAGGTTTACACAACGCAAAAAGCTTAGGAAAATTACCCACAGGTATGCTATACCCAAGTGAGGGCTTCCTATACTCTTCTATTAAAGTCTCAAGTCCATTACATTTCCAGAGGTTCAGCCAAATCAAATGGCTTGCAAAAGAATAAACAATTTCAGTAATATGTCTTGCAGCAAGATCAATGCAACACGAGCAATCAAATTCAATTTTCACCGTCCTCGGGTTCTCTCGCTAATACAGCACTTCGAGTAATTAAATACCGTTTGATGCAATGTCGTAAAATGTTAATAAGACCCGCAAGGTGATTCGCCCGGGAGAGAGAGAGAGAAAGAGAGAGCAAACAGCGCCGGGTATCGACTGCCTGATGGGAACTCTCCATTACGTCGTCTCGCCGTGAAATGTGATTACAAGTAATTGAGGGAAGTAGCAGGACCCACCTCAATGGTAAACACCAGAACGTTGACCCTCCTTCCTAATTGTCGGGACCCACTCAGGCTCCTTGCTGCTTACCCCACAATTACTCAAGCATTTCTTCTTGGTTATGCTCAGTTAGTAGGGCTGGTTTTCTCTTGCTTCGGGTAAATGGCTGGGTGTACTACCCTCTGTGTTTCTCGCATTATTCCCCGAACAACAGCTCAGAGAATGTGTCATTAAGGTAATTATAAAATGCGACTGATTGTAGGACATTATTTGTGTGTGTGTGTGTGTGTGTGTGTGTGTGTGTGTGTGTGTGTGTGGTGTGTGTGTGTGTGTGTGTGTGTGTGTATGTGTGTGTGTACTTGCCTAATTGTGACTGCAGGGGTCGAATCATAGCTCCTGGCTGTGTGTGTGTGTATATGTGTGTACGCGCGCGTTGGTGCGCCTTCACGGACCTGTATGACTCACAGACCGGCCTTTGCCTTCACCACTATTCTAAATTTTTAAAACACCTGCGTAATTATAGTGGGAGAGGTAATGCGTATAACAAGGAGTCCTTAGCTAGTTTAATGTTAACTTACATAATACATGGAGGCGTATACGCCACTCTTACTCGCTACGAAGGTCAACCTCGTCGCTGTAACAACGCCGTTCTTACTCTGCAAGATTGTGCAAAACGAAGTGTGTCAGTTTTGCAAAGGCCAAGTTACCTCATATTTCAAGTCAGCC